AGCTGGTACCTACAGACATGCATGTAACTCGGTGGCCACAGGACAATTGTGTGCTGAGGATGCCCCCATGCTGGACATGGAGGGGATGGAAGTGTGAACCAAGATCAATGCTGAGAGTTCCAGAGACCAGAACTTTCCCTCTGCCAGGGCTGACACAGAAGATACTCATGGTCCAATCTATCCCTTGACCCCTTGACCCACTCGTTTGCTGCCCCTGAACATACTGTTAAGTGGAACATCAGCCATGTGTTAAATGCTATGTTACTTCCCCCAACAATTACCCTGGGACCAGAGCCCTCCCTTCATAGAACAAAAAAAAAAAAAAAAAAAAAAAAAACCACTAAAGTTGAGCCAGGCATGGTAGTAAAAGCACTTGGGAGGCATAAAAATCCTGTCTCAGAAAACTGAAAAAGAAAAAATAATAAAGTTGAATAAATTTTCTAAGTCCTACCACTACTGACCCACACAGCCTTGAGGCTTGTGAAGGATCGACTTTCATCTACCTCTGCTCAAATAAGGCTGGCATGAGTGTGCCCTTTGCTTTGGGGGGTCTGACTGAGGAGCTTCAAGAGCTCAGTGAAGAACCAGGTTCCTTACATCTTTTAGAAATACACTCTGAAACCCTAGGACCTGGCCTCTGGGGCTAGCCCACACCATAAAAGTTAGCCCATGGGTCTGTGCTGCTATTAGACTCTTGTGTTGTTCCTTTAGGCTGGCTCTACAGATCGGGGGAGGGATGGAATAAAGTCAGAAACTCAGAACTTTCTAGAGATTACAAGGCCAGTTCACAGGTTTAGCTGTCTGCATACCAGGCAGAATCCTCGAGAATAAATAAATAATAAATGGTGGGATTGTGTTCTGAGAGGCGTGAATTAGAAACACCAAGAGGAACCTTTATCTGAAATTTCGGTGACTGTTTTGTGGTTCTGGGAGCTGACCTAAGGTCTTGGCCATAGTCGGCCAGGGCCTCACTGAACTACATCCTAGTCCACCAGCCTAAAATTACAGATGCACATGAAGATGTAGAGAGCTGGGTAAGTTGAATTAACATTTAATGTTCTCTATCACAGCAGGAAATTGTGACTAAATGTATGCTTTTTAAATAGCTAAGGAGAAAGAGTGATGGCTAATTCTTGTAATTCTAGCAGTCCAAAAGCTGAGGCAGGAACATTTCCATGAATTTGTAGCCATCTTGATCTAAAAGATGTTGTCTCAAAAAAAAAAAAAAAAAAAAAAAATTAGAGCTAGGCATGGTTTCATATGCTTGCAATCCCAATGCTTGGGAGGTGAACATAGGAGCTACATATGGAATTCAAGGATGGCCAGGTGGACTTGAGGCCCTGTCTACTCGCCTCCCAAAAAAAGATGTCAGGCTGTTGTGGCCTACTGGATGTGGTCTGAGAATGTCCCCACAGATTTCAGAGTTAGAATTGTGCTTCTCAGTGAAGCAGTGTTAACAGGTGGTATGGAAGCTGAGTGGTGATGCACACCTTTCATCCCAGGTCTCAGGGGCAGAGGGCGGGGGATCTCTGTAAATTCAAGGCCAGCCTGGTGTACAGAGAGAGTTCCAGGACAGCCAGGGATACAAAAAACAAAAACAAACAAACAAAAAAGAGGTGGTATAGAAACTGATCTGTTGGCACTTGAGAGACAGAGGCAGGAGAATCAATCTCAAGTCTAAGTCCAACCTGCTCTATGCATAAAGATGGTGGGGAGTTTTAAGATATGGTATCTCAGGCTGGAGAGATAACTCAATGGTCATGAGCACTGTCTGCTCTTCCAGAGAACCTGGGTTCAATTCCCAGCACTCACATAGCAGCTCACAACAGTCTATAACTCCAGTTCCAGGGGATCTGACATCCATGGCAAAACACTAATGTACATAAAATAAGGATAAATAAAATTAAAAAGATGGTATCTCACAGGAGGTGGCTAAGTTGTCCTTAGAAGGACCAGGGTGTTTTCACAGGGCCCTGGTCAGTTCCTGCTAGAGACAGTTGTTATAAAAAGATCAAAACTGTGGTAACACAAACCTCCAATCCCAGCAATTGGGAGACAGAGGCAGAGACAGACAGATCTCTGTGTGTTCAAGGCTAGCCTGATCTACACAGCAAGACTCTGTCTGGGGAAAAAGGAAAAAAAATTTAAGAATTTTCTTTTTTAATTGGCTTTTAGAAAAGTCAAAACATGACAGAGAAAAGAAGAGTTGGTTTTGTCGAGTTGGTTTGTTTGGGGATGAAACCTGGGTTCTGGCACATCCAGGCAATGGTCAACCACTGAGCTCATCATCAGACCCAAAAGAAAAGGCTGGATATGATAATGCACACCTTTAGTACCATCACAGGCAGGTTAGAGTCTGTGCCCAGCCTGGTCTACAAATGAGTTCCAGGACAGCTATAGTGATATAATAGAGAGACCCTGTCTCAAAAAAGAAAAGAAATTCATGTCTCTCAGTTCTGGAAACTGGGACATTAACAAGCACAGTGCCAGCATGCAGTGAGGACCTCATCCTATGGCGGAAGCCATCCCAAGTAAAACAGAGTGAGCATGGAAGAGAGCTTGCCTTTCTGACAAAGACAAATTCAGTCAGGAGAGCAGAGCCCTTGTGGCCTCTCACCTCCCAAAGACCCCACCCTCCACACTGTTGAGCTGGGGAATATTTCAACACTTGAGTTCCAGAGGACTGACCCAGTCCTCTGGACTAGTCAGTACTGAGTACTTCTAAGGAGACCTGGGTTCATGAGTTCAGATGGGTGCTAGGATTGAGTTAGAAGAACATTGATGACCATCTAGTGCTGTCAGTGTGGAGAGAGTCACAGGGCCTTTGGGGAGAGGTGACTTCATTTGTCAGGGTTCCATCTCCCACGGTGAAATATTTGGCTATGTAATTTATGTAATAAAAATTTAACTTTTAAAATAATAACAAGCAGGGAGTTGATGGCGAATACCTTTAATCCCAGCACTCGGGAGGCAAAGGCAGGAGGATTTCTGTGAGTTCGAGGCCAGCCTGGTCTACAGAGAAAGTTCCAAGACAGGCTCCAAAGCAATACAGAGAAACCCTGTCTCAAAAAATAAACAAACAAATAAATAAATAAATAAATAAATAAATAAATAACATTTACATGGCCATTATTTACTTCAAGCCGTACCAGTTAAACCAGTTCTTGAAATGTTTTCAATTTGTTTAAATAAACTATAACTTTTCATTTATTTGCTTTGTGTGTAGGAATATTTTGTCCACATGCATGTATGTACACCATATGTGCCCATTGGATCCTCTAGAATGGGTCACAAGTCCCTTTGTAAGAACAAGTGCTCTTAACCACTGAGCCATCCCTCCAGTCCCCCTTAAACATTCTTGTCATACTGACCTTGACTTACTGATTACTGATATTTTAAATTATATTAACCTTCTGTTCAAAAGTCACAAAGGCCCTTAAGAATAAAACCGACTCCTTGGCCTGGTCCCAGATGTACTGGCTCTCACACCACCATCCTAACAGCACCCTGCCATCCCATCACCATGCCTTTCCCTTCTGGCATGCTCTTCATGCCCCCTCTCCCTAATCAAATAATGTTCTTGGTTCAAGGCCCAGCTGCAACTGCTCAGCCTCTGTGGCCAAGGCCCTATTGTCCTAGGTGCTCCCCGTTAGTCCTTTCCTGGAGATCATGCAGGACAAAGGTGCCTTGTTTAAACTGGAATTGTCGATGAGGGAGGGCAACCTGCACATTATAAGTTGTACCACCTCAGCTATTCCTCAGAGCAGTCCTGGGACTAGACACTCTACTTATTCCCGTTTTACCCACCAGAAGAACAAGCTCAACCAGGTTAAGGGCCCTGCACAAAAGCAAGCAGGTGTCCACAAATGCCTTGATAGGTTAATATATGGGTTGTATTGGTTTTCGTGTTTTGAGATAGGGTCTCATGTAGCCCACACTGGCCTCAAACTTTATGTAACTAAGGATGGACTTGAACTCCTGGTCCTCTTTCCTCTACCTCCCAAGGGCTTGCATTGTAGCCATGAGCCCCTACCCTGGTGGCAGCTTCTGGGTTTTTGCTTTGGTTTTCCTTTCTGAGACAAGATCTTAGTGAGTAGTACAGGCTGACCTCAAACACTGCCCTCGCCATCTTCCTGCCTCAGTAGTCTGCCAAGTGCTAAATTACTGGTATACGCCTTCACACCTCACTGTGTCGGTCCCTCTTTATTTATAAGTGCCAGGTAAAATTAAGGCCCATTGTAAGCACTTTCAAGAGCATCATGAGGGCCGAAGGCTCAGAGGAATGAGATGACTCCACGGCTACACAAGGCATAGCTGGCTTCGGCACCCACTTCCTTCTATCTCCACCTCCCATTCTCTACTCCCAGGCTGCTGGGTTCCATTTTTAGGGGGCAGAGACAGCTGTGGTCAATGAGATTACTTTCTTCCTTAGTGTCATCCAGCCAATTGGCAAAAATGTGGAGTCTGTCCTGCCACTGTGGGCAGACTCCTCCCGACCTCACACAGGGCCAGTCCTATGGAACACACCTGAAAGCCCTGGGTAAGTTACTGGGAGTACTGGGAATAGTCCACCATAGGCCAATGATGAAGGGTAGCCACCCCTCAAGTGGGGCCAATGAGGCCATGAGGGCCAGCCAGGTACCCAGCAGCCCGTGGAACTGTCATCCCACAGCCGCTGTGGGTTCCTGTGCACTCACCCTGCAGTAGAGGCCAGAGTGTGGGCCAGGCTCAGTGAGATGCTTAGCAACCCCATCCAGATGCGAATCGTTCCTCCCACACTTCCCGGCAGCAGGGGCCTCAATTAGAGCCTTCGAGGGGTCAGAATCCACACCTCCGCAAATGGGCCTGCTTTCCCAGGGCCCCCCTGCCCAGACCTTCCCTGGGCTCTGTGGGTTTTGACACCTCTCTGCAACCTGGCAGGGAGCCACCTCACACCTTTGGTCCAGATAAAAGCTAGGTGCTGGAGGCGACCCGTCCAGCTTCCCAGAGTCACACCGGCCATGGCCCAGTCGCCTCCTTCTCAGGGCCTCCCTGGCCTCGACCCCTGGGTCTTCTCCCAGAGCTGGGGCTCGGACTCCACGTCCCCAGCCTCATCCTCGGATTCATCCGGATCGTGTCCCTGCTACATCACCCGCCGCCCCTCGCAGTCCGAGGGCCTGGCCCGCAGCGCGAGCAAAACCCAGGCCGCCCCGACGGCGCCCCGACGTGCGCGGCCCGCGCCCGCAGGAGGGCAGCGGCAGAGCGCCAGCGAGCGCGAGAAGCTGCGCATGCGCACGCTCGCCCGCGCGCTGCACGAGCTGCGCCGCTTCCTGCCGCCGTCCGTGGCGCCTGCTGGCCAGAGCCTGACCAAGATCGAGACGCTGCGCCTGGCCATCCGCTACATCGGACACCTGTCGGCCGTGCTGGGCCTCAGCGAGGACAGTCTGCGGCGCAGGCGCCAACGGAGTGCAGACACCGCGTCCTCGCACCGATGCCCTCTGTGCCCGGATGGTGGCAGCCCCCCGCAGGGTCAGACGCTTGGCACTGACCTGGGCTCAGCCATCAGTAGTGGGGTGTCCTGGGGGTCCCCGTCCGTTTGTCCAGGACCCCGAGTCTCTCCTGAAAACCTAGGGAGCAGGATCTCCAACGTGGATCCCTGGGTGACGCCTCCTTATTGTCCCCAAATACAGTCACCCTTGAACCAGTCCCTAGGGAGAGCCCCTGACACCTCTCACTGGACACCACCCCAAGCCTATTCTGGCACGCAGACATCTCCAGAGCCTAGGAACAAGACCGGACTCTGGTCACCATCCACTGCTCCTGCAGAGCTGACTGAAGTATACCAGGTAGGTCCCAGAGCCCCTGCTGCTTTCCCCAGGGAGGTCCCAGGCTTCATTTGGAAATAGAGTGGGTAGGTGGTCTCTAGTATGTACAGGGTCTCCTGCCTTTCAGGTCCCAGGTTATCCAATGAAGGGGAGGATGGAAGGAGCCTTACCGACAGCTGTAGGGGAAAAGACAAGGCCCTGGAAAGTTAAAGCTACCGCCATAGTTGCCATCACTGCTATGCAACAGTTTCCACAGCCTGGGGAAGAGAGGATGGCCCTCGGATTTACACAGAGGCCAGGGTGGAAGGTGAGGGGTTGCACTGTCAGGAAATTCTAAGTTCAGAGCAGAAGTGAGTGAGGCCCAGGGGGTTCATCTGCACTTTCCAAATCGATTCTACTGGAGTTGGTGACCTGTGTGTTTTCTGTGGTTTATTCGTTCATAAATGTCTTGTGGTCCATAAAAGATCATGATAATGACTTAAGTTTTACGGAGCACTCACAGTGTGCCTACACCATTCTTTGTACTTTTACCTGTATTTGGTTATTCATCTCTGCTAATACAACCCTATGCGGCATCAGCACACCCATTTTACAGGTGGTGAAACTGAGATGGAGGGACTTCTCATAGCTAGTGAGTAGCAGAGCTAGGATTTGAAGGTTGGCAGTGCTTCTCCGGAACCAGGGTTCTTGTCCTCTGCACCCCTCTACACTGTTGGGGCCATCTACACACCACCAGCTGTACTCTGGGGAAACAGGCAGGTATGAAATCTGCCAGCAGTGGCCAGGGAGCAAACCCTTCTTGTTTCTCTTGCAGAGTCTTTCTGTGTCTCCAGAACCCTGCCTGTCCCTGGAAAGCCCACCCCTCCTGTACCGTCCTTCCTGCCAGAGACTACAGCCTCAGCCTCAGTGGGGCTGCTGGGGCCACAATGCAGAGGTGCTCTCCAGCTCCAAGGACCAGGGTTCCAGCCCTGCATCCCAGCTCCCTGCGGCCAGCCCCATTCCAACCTCAGGCCTGCAGCTCAGTGGCTGTCCTGAACTTTGGCAGGAAGACCTGGAGGGACCCCCACTGAATATCTTCTACTAGTGGCCTGGCCTGTACCCTGTCAGTGTGGAGTCACAGCTGATTGAGAGTGCCTTCGTCTACCTCTTCTGTGACATTCTGAGTTCTCCTTAGCCGTGGATTCCTTTTCCCAGGTGATGCCCTTCATTGAAACTGTCTGGAACAGATAGATAGTAGGTACCTTCCCTGACTGGAGGGGGCTAGGACAGTGCCCTCTACTTCTAGGTATCCTTCTAGAGCTACTGCTCTCAACCTTCCCAATGCCTCGGCCCTTTAATACAGGTCCTCATGTTGTGGTGACCCCAACCATAAAATTATTTTCATTGCCACTTCATAGCTGTAATTTTGCTACTGTTATGAATGACAATGTATCTATGTTTTGTGATGGCCTTAGGCAACCGCTGTGAAAGGGTCCATTTCAACCCCCAGGGTGAGAACCACTGTTCCAAAGGCTCAAAGCCCTGCGGAGTCTAAACTGCTCTCAGAGTGGGGTGGCCTAGGTCTGGGCAGTAGAGCACATCCAAGCTCTACTTGCTGCCCAGAATCTTATATATTTGTATTATAATTAAAAAGAAAAACCAACAAAAATGTGTTTTCTTCTGATTTTCTTTCATCAACATACATTTTCCTCTACTAGTAGATAGGGGCAGCCAATGATTTGAGTTGACTGGGGGAGAACAGAGAGTTGAAAAGGGCATCTCAAAGGAGGCAACATTAAGTGGAACCCTGTGAATCTGTGATGGGGAATTCATCCTTCCTGGGTAGTGATTACAGAGGCTGGGAATGGGGGTGGAATGGCCATGGGAGATCTTGGGCCCTTTCACCACTTCATTAAAAAAAAAGTCACTAGCTGGGGACGCACCTCAGTTGGTACATTGCTGGGTTCAATCCCCAATACCACCTGAAACTCGGCATGGTAGTACACACCTGTAATCCCAGCACTGGAGAGATGGAGGCAGGAGAATCGTCCTCTGCCACACAGCAAGTTCATGTATCATGGGATACATCAGATTCTGGATCAAAAACAAGTCACTTAGCAGCCTCGGGGGGAAGGGAAGTGAGGAAGCTGTTGATTGCCTGTCCTGGATCTTGGCCATACACAGGGCCTCCCATGTAGGGGGACCCTGATCCTACATGGGAGCCCATTGTCTGTTGACATACCTTTAGGCAAGTTACTCCCTTGTTGACGCAAGTTCCTGTCCTGCCAGCAGCTCCCAAATAAACACATTGAGGCTTATATTAATTACAAGTTTTCAGCCAATAGCTCAGGCTTGTTACTAGCTAACTCTTACATTTAAATAAACCCATACTTCTTATCTATGCTTTGTCAAGTGGCTTGATTCTTTTCCTCAGAGAGAGAAACAAGAGACAAGCATGGTCATCTTGTTTCTTTCTCTGTCTACTGGTGACCTCTCTCTGATTCACCCTTCTTCCCAGCATTGTTTGGCTCTGCCTCCTTAACTTATCCTGACCAGCTATTGGCCAGTCAGCTTCTTTGTTAAACCAGTCACAGTGATGTTATCACACAGTGTAAAGGAATATTCCACACTTTCTCTTTGAGACTCAGTTTCCCTGTCTCCTAAAGGAAAAACTGGTTTAGGTTATCACACAGTGTAAAGGAATATTCCATACTTTCTCTTTGAGACTCAGTTTCCCTGTCTCCTAAAGGAAAAACTGGTTTAGGTGATTATTAGAGGTGTATTTTTTCCCCCTCATCTGTTAGAAGTGGTCTAGTTTGGGGTGGCAGGGAGAATTGTGGTTGGAATGTAAAATGAAATATAAAAGAATAAATTTTTTTAAAGTGGTCTAGTTCCAACTTAAGGACTGTCACTAATCTTGGAAAGATGAGAAAAGTGTACAGCACACAATGTCTACAGCACATACACACACACACACACACACACACTCGTGTATGCACACACAAGCACACTTACAACACTTACACACAGGCCTCACTTCAGTGCACACTACATTCAGCTCTTCCTTGCTGAGTAATTGTGGTGAGCTATGAAACTCCTTTGAGTCTGTTTCTGCAGTAGAGATAATAGTAGACCCCCACCTGCCCTTCAGGGTTCCTATACTTGGCACATGATGGCTGCTCAAGAAATGTAGTAGCTGAGGAGGGTCACAGTACCTATGACCCAGTCAGGTGACTGCCAAACTGAAATGGGCACTGAGTCATCTGGACACAGTGCCCACTTAGACAGGGACTTTAAGGTCCGGACAGGGTTGCACACAATAGCTCTTCCTTGACCTTCATTTTCCAGTTGAGTAAAGAAGTCTAGGGGAAAAGCAACTTTCCGTAGCTCCCAGCTAAGTGCAGACATCAAGCCCCTGACCCCAGTCTGCTGCTCCTTCCTCCCCAAGAAGACACAGGTCTTGGTGCCTGTGTCACTAGATCTAGTCCCAAGGCAGAACCAGACAAGGGTCAAAGCTTCCTATGATTCACACTCTTTGTCCCAAAGGGACAAAGAGAGTCCATCGCTGCTACAGTCTCCAACACCAAGGCCCCACAGGATGATGGGGAGAAGACCCCCCCATCAGCTGCAACTGGAAATGAGCATCCTCTGGAGTTTGGCAGTCTCGGTCCCCAGCTCCCATGTGTTCCTTGAAAGCCACTACTTATGGGGACCATGCACCTCAATCAACCCAACCAATCACCTGGCTGGACAGCCTGATGCTCCTGGAATAACAAAAGCCAGCTCAAGTAACCCTGCCTCTTTTTGGCCCCTACCAGTAGGCAGGCTCAACCCTGCCTCTCAAAACTGTAACTCCTCCCTGTACCCCCCCCCCACCCATCCCTTGTCTTTGAGTCTCATGCAGACTACCATGAGCTACATTTTTTTTGTTTGTTTGGTTGGTTGGTTGGTTGGTTGGTTTTGTTTTTTGAGACAAGGTTTCTCTGTAGCTTTGGAGCCTGTCCTGGCACTCACTTTGTAGATCAGGCTAACTTTGAACTCACAGAGATCTGCCTGCCTCTGCCTCCTGAGTGCTGGGACTAAAGGCATGTACCACCACCGCCCAGCATGAGCTACATCTTAAAGCAGACAGAATGGTGATGTTGGTGCCAGTTAGGATGACTGGGGACCCTTTTAGCATTGCCTGAGAACTCACCCAAGACTTCTAATGACCCTGTGAAACAGAAGCCACACTACCTCTACATGTAAGCAGTGGAGGCTGGGAGGAGTGGACATGCTTGGCTTGGAATCAAGGCTGCAGTAAAGATGAACTGAGCTAGGTTCATCCCTCATCTTCAGATGCTATTCTGTGATCACTGGGGCTGCGGCTGGCTACTGGAAACACCCTCATCCCTGCTGGCAATGAGGAGTCCATCCTTTGGCAGGCAGAGGCTGGACAGGCAGTTGGCAGCCTGAATCCTAGCTGGTTTCTGTTCTGAAACCCTGACTAAGTTCCTGTGGGCAGGCTTTTGGCTCTTGGTGCCTTGACTGCATCTCAGGGGACTGGCATCTACCAGCCACACAGAGCCTTGTGAATGCCAACATTTTAAGGAGACAGGGAACAGGAGCTTGTAAATGTGGATGTCACAGACTCTGGCTCAGCTCCAAACTGGTGACAGTAGTCAGAGGTCAGCACTTCTGCCAGAGTCATGACTTAAGCTCTCAGTCCTCAGCCACCTTAGGTGTGGCTGTGTAGCTTCACCTAGAATGCATTAGGTTTGATCCACAGCACTGAAAAAGTCAAATTAAAAAACAAAACACTGAGATTAAGATAGTCTATGATCATTTAGCATCACCTAAGAAAGAGAGAATGCCGGTAGATTTCTCTCTGGTAAGCCAATTCTCCCCTGTGACATCCACAGGGACCCAAAATGGTGAGACTGACCCTTCCCCCCAGCTGAATGCCAGAAGGTCAAGTGCCAGCCATGGCTGCTGGGTACTGGCGACAGGAAGGGTTGGTGTAGAGTGAAGGAGCCCAAACACTTAATCTAGGGCAGCCCAGGGAGCCCGGCAGGGCCCCTCACCAAGGCTGGCCACAGGATCTTGCCCCTCCTCGCCCTTTGATATGCAGATAGAAGGAGAGAAGTTGGAAGCTTTCCCACCCCAGTACCTGGCCACACCTTTCTCACTTGGGAAGGAGGGCTGCTTGGAGCTAGATGAGGCTAGGGGATGGTGGTACTTGCTACGTAGCTAAGAATGACCTTGAACTCCTGTTCCTCCTGCCCCTGTGTCAAAAAGTCAACCCAAAAGCTCAGCTGATTGTGTCTGCTGTGTCTGCTGCTCAGGCTTGACTGCTGACTTCGGATACCCTCATAAGGTAAAGAGTAACCAAGGAAGACACTCATGGTGGACTTCTGGCCTCCACACATGTGAATATACATGTGCATACATGTGTACATGAACACACACCCAAACAAAAACAACAAAGAAGATGATAGCTGGAGTGTGTCTGATGCCACATGAGTTTAACTCCAGCACTCAGGAAGCAGAGGCAGGCAGATTTCTATGAGTTCAAGACCAGCCTGTTCTATATACAGAGGTCATCCAAGGCTACAAATAAATACATTTTTAAAAAAGATTCCTATTGGGAAGTAACATTTATGGGTGATAATTGATGTCCCAAGGTCTCCTGTAGTAAAGTACTTGCCACACAAACATGAGGAACCCCGTTCATAAACTCAGCACCCATGTATAATGCTAATCACAGTGACGGGAACCAGTAACCCCAGCTCTGGGAGTGAGAGACAGGAGGGTCTGCAGAGCTCATGGGATAGTTCTGGGTTCCATAAGGGACTCTGTCTCACAAAAAGTAAAAAAGACAGGCAGAGGTGGTGCACGCCTTTTATCCCAGCACTCAGGAGACAGAGCCAACCTGGTCTACAGATCGAGTTCCAGGACAACCAGAGCTGTTACACAGAGAAATCTTGTCTCAATAAAGCCTAAACAAATAAAAAGGTAGATAGTAATGGGGGAAGACTACCTCTGGCCTTCACACACATCTGCACACACAAATAAAGGAGTTAGGGGACAGTGAGATGGCTCAGGGTCCTTGTAAACCTTGTGACCCAAATGTGATCCCTGGAAACCAAGTAAAGGTAGAAGGTAAAGAGAGAATCACCTTCACAATATTGTCCTCTGACTCCAACATGAGAGCCGTGACTCAAGCATCTCTCTAAAAATGGGGAGGGAGCATCTGAACTATCTCATCTCTCTTCAAGGCTGGAAGATGATGAGTATCAGAGGTGTCTTACCCTTGGCTTTTTACTATGTCTGTCCCATTCCCAACCCCTAAGAAGGCGCCACAGAGTATCCACTCACGGTCCTAACCCTGCAGTCACAGGCAATCAGCCCATGAGGGGATTGCTCCTTACACAGGCCAGCTGTTCCTGTCAGGCACAAAGGACTTCTGGGATCATCTTGAACCAGAAGAAGCGATGACCCTCACACCATACCTAGGCTAAGACTACTTAATTATAAATGGATCCCTTCTGCCTGCTGCCCCAATTATTTTCATTCATTTACTCCTCAAGTTTGTGACAGAGATGTTCTTGGGAGGCACTGGCCTCCTCTATCTGTACTTCCCAGAGTGTTATTGTGCTTATTCTCTCTCTCTCTCTTTCCCTCCCTCTCCCTTTCCCTCTCTCTCTCTCTCTCTCTCTTTCCCTCCCTCTCCCTCTTTCTCTCTCTCTCTCTTCTCTCCCCCTCCCTCTCTCCTCAGATAGGATTTCCCTAGGCTGGTCTTGATGGGGGATGTCCTTCTGTATGCTGTGGATATAGGTTTCTCTTATTGGTAGATGAATAAAGCAGTTTCAGGCAATGGATAGGCAGGATGTAACCAGGCAGAAGTATAAACAGGGCTGCCAGACTAGGAGAATTATGGGAAGAGGAACACAGAAAGTGAGAATTGGGGGAGATGTCATGTAGCTAACAAAGGAGCAACATGCTAGAGCATTATAGGTAAGCCACAGCCTCATGGCAATACTTAGTTTAATAGAAATGGGTTAATAATTAAGAGAGAGCTAGCCAGTAAGAAGCCTAAGCCATCGACCAAACAATTTATGATTAATATAGGGCCTCTGTGTATTTATTTGGGACTTAACAGCTGAGGGACCAGGTGGGAGAGAAATCTCCATCTACACATGGCACCCACCTTGAAGCAGGAACCCATGACCCTGAGATTAAGAGTCTCATGCTTGAGGCAGGGCAGGGGAGGAGGGGAGGGTGAGGGAACTGGGATTGACATGTACAACAAGCTTGTTTCAAATTTAAATAAAAATATTATCATTAAAGAAAAAAAAAGTCTCATACTCTACCGACTGAACTAGCCATTATCAGGTCTCCAACTCCTGATCCTTCTGCCTCTGTCTGCTGGGAACAAGAGTGTGCCACTGTGCCTAGCTTGCTCATCTTTTTAATTTGCAAATTGAGACGGACAGCCCAGGCTGGTACAGGACTGACAGAACTATGGGCTTCCGTGCTTCATTTGCTATTCCCAGGAGTCGATATATACCTGGCACAAGAGACTGTCCTCAACTGCAACCATTCCCCATCCATCCAGTCTTCCCAAGCTCTCCTCGTCCAGCCACCTGCCTGCCTCTAACCCTCAGCCCAGCCCTTGGGTTCCCGTGGAAAATCCACCTTGGAGCCTGGAGAGGAGGTATATGCCCTAGGTCATGACTCAGCATTTAGGTTTGGGGTCTCTACTGGAATACCCTTCCCCTATCGTCCCAGGTGTCCAGTGTCTCTTTGACAATATGAGGGCCACAGCCAGCTTCTGCCCCTTTGAGATTTGGTAGGGTAGATCCCATGGGAGCCACCATATTTACCCCTCTCAACCTCCAGGGAGGTTCATCGGTGCCTGAAAGCTTATCCTTGGAATCAGACTGCAATGAACTTCCTCCAACCCCTAGACCTACAGCATGGCTCCCCTCTCCTCTCCAGTCTCTGTAACCATTGTGTTAATCTCCCACTGAGTGACAAGTCTGGAAGGTCATTTTAGAAATTCTTTATTTACATTTTCTTTTAAAAATATATATATATAGATCTTGTGTCCTGATGATTCTTTGGTTCTGGGTCTCATGGAGAAAGTGGCAAAGTGTGCAGGGTGACTATTTGGTCTGCCCTTTGTCCAGTAAAGTCTTACTCTGGCCTCAGAGCTGGGCTTCCCTGAGATCAGCCCCAGAGGCCTGGGCCTGGGGCAGAGTTGGCATGAGAGGCAAGGGCTGGGAGGTGCCAGAGCACCTGACAATTAGGAGCTAGGGTGGCTCCATAGGAACTCTGAGGATAGGATGCTGGTCCTGGAGCTCTGAGGACAGACAGAGACCCTGCACAGGCTGCTGAGCTAGTTGTTGGTGTCCCCAGGTGCCAAGCGGTTCTCAGGGCCAGGATCTACTTGCTGTTTTGAGTGAACCACTGGAGTACCACCTCCTTGTTCTCCTTCACCCACTTGATGTTGGCCTTTGTCTTCTCCAGGGCTTGCTCCAGAGCCCGAGTGCCTGAACCAAAGCCTGTGTCTTTGTTTTCCTCCTGGAACTGCTCCAGCTGCCAGGAAAACAAAGTGTCAGATCTGAGCGAGCTCTCAAGCTCAGCCTCGGGAGAGGGGGCCTTCCCAGTCCTTACCCATGCACAGGTCCCTGGGGATGGAGACCATATCTTGTTCCCTGTATAAGGGTGAGTCCCTCACCACTTCTTGGAGCTAAGTACTCATCTACCCAGAAATTGTGAAACCACAGCCCCAGGTGGAGTCTGCTCAGAGGGTACGGGCTTCATTGTGCACTATTTCAGTGAGTTAGCCCTGAGTTCAATGAGGTATCTCAACCCAGTAATGAGCAAATGAAACAGGTACCACATGGAGCAAAGACTTAGGGAATGTCTGAACCTCAGATGATCAATTGCTTCAATGCCTAAGTAGCTTTTTTTTTTTTTTTTTTTTTTTTAAGAAAGGGGGTATGGGGCTGTGGCTTAGGAGTAGAGAGCTTGCTAAGCATGATCCAGCCCCTGGCTTCCAACCTCATCACTTCAAGACAGTAAAGAGGAGTAGACAATTGCAAGTCACACCCAATACAATTTTGTACACATAGACTCTTAAGAAAAATCTGTGAAAGAACTGTTAGGACTCAGGCTAAACTGTCTCTCACTGATAGAGTTTGCTCAACATGTGTGAAGCCCTCGTTTCCATCCCCAGCACAAGAAAAACAAAAGGAAACTGAGAACTAATGATTCAGCAAGGTTTCATAACATGGAACCAGTATATGGCATCAACTGTACACCTAGGAACCTGAGAAATGTTTGCAAATCATAGGTCTGTATTCAAAATACATAAAGAACTGTTACAACACAGCAACAAAAGGCAGCAGCCCAATTTAAAACCAGACAAAAGGCATGAATAGAAGTTGTTCCAGAGACAGTAAACAGCCAGTAAACTCCCTTCAGTAGTCATCAAGAAAAGACCATTACAATACCCAGGGACAATGAGAAATTAGAACCATCCAACATTGTTGGCAGGAATGTTGCAGCAGTAAATTTGCTCTGGACAACATTTTGGCCATTTATTCAAGAAAGTTAAACATAAAGAAATGCCCCAGTGAGTCTGCTGCTAGCAATATGCCCAGGAAAAATGAAAACACATGTTTGTATAAAAATACGTGCATAAACCGGGCATTGGTGGCTCTGGATCACGCCTTTAATCCCAGCACTCAGGAGGCAGAGGCAGGTGGATCTCTGTGAGTCTTAGGCCAGCCTAGTCTACAAGAGCTAGTTCCAGGACAGGCCCCAAAGCTACACAGAGAAACCCTGTCTTGGAAAAAAAATGTGCATAAATGTTCATGGCAGTGCTATTGATAACAATGCCCATCAGCTGATAAATGGATACACAAGATGTGGTATATCTACACAATGGAATACTACTTAGCCATACAAAGGAACCATGGTTTTCTTAGGTGCCAAGAGAAAGAACCCTGACACAAACGGGTCACATATTACAGGATTCCATTAAAAAAGGTCACAAAATGTCATGATTCCATTTTGTGAACTGCAAAAATAAAGTACATTAGGGATTGCCAGGGGCTAGGGAGAAGAGATGGGGATGAGGAGGAAATGCTAGCAGCTACCTACAGGTAGTCTTTGGTGAACTGGTAAAGGTTGATTGTACAATCTTGCAAATGTACTAGAAAGCACTTAAAATGGTAAGTTTTATGGCACATGAATTGTAACTCAATTGTTAGGTAAGGGAACCTAGGTACTCAGGAGACTAAAGCAGGAGGATTGATGGAGCTCAGGGGTTCAGGGTTAGCCTAGGAAATCAACCAATGAATAAATATAGTTTTAAAATTCCAAGTTTTATTTTAATGGGAACATTAACATCTACAAAGTCTCTCTACTTAATCCTTGCTTTATGAATGGAAGCTACCACCTCCAACTGGGAAAACTAGATAGAGCCCAGGGCTAGGAGAGATCTGCTCCTTACCTGCTGCAGCTCGAATTCGGTAGAGAAGCGCCTGGTCACTCCCTGGATGAGATTGGCAAAGGAGAAAGATCCTCCTCCATAACTGTGGGACAAGGGAAGGGTGAGTGTGAGCAGTGGAGGGGGCAGAAACCTGAGGGACATTCTCTACGGGTGTCACAGAACTATAGAATTCTACAACCATTTTGAGGGAGGTATGAGGAGGCAAAGCAAAATGACATCCCAAGATCCCAAAGAGACCCTGCCAGGACATGCAGAAGGCAATGTTAAACACAGCTTCTTTCTAAGAAAGTCCAGCACAGGAGATGGGAGGTGTGGGGGTCACCCAGGACCTCCAGCCTTGGCCTTCGCCAATCCAACACCCCAATCAGACTCACTTCTCAAAGAGTTTCTTCCAGTTGCTTCGGACAAAGTCCCAAACCAGAGATTGCCCAGCCACATTATTAGCAATACTGATGATGGTGGAGGTGGCATCCTGCCTCCGGATGTAGTCAGGATTCAGAGTGTAGGTCAGGTACCTATGGGCAGGAGGCAAGGGTAGGGACCACTTGAGGACTGTAGTCCCATGATACAGGGGTGGGAGCCTGATGTCTCACACACAACCACCACCTCTTGTATTGCTCAGGATCCCTTTGATGTATGAAGAGCTGTGGGGCACCTGGATACTACCTTCCTGCAGCAGGGGGGAAACTGAGGCACCTGCACACGGCTCTCAGGATCACTGGCCATGCAAATGTGAGCTGCCATGTAACTCTCTGAGAACCGATAAGAGGGTAGCCACTCCTCACTTTGAAGTTAAAGGACACTCACTAACACTGAGGGAACAAAGAATGTGATTGTCCTGGGTCTAGGGGTCATGGGTGTCCTGTGGTTGCTGGAACTGTGCAGGTCTGGCCTCTGAGAGCTCACCAGGTTCAGGAGACCCTGTCCTGAGACTCAAAGCAGAGCCCACAGCCTTAAGAGTTAGGGACCCTGACCCTGTTATTCCAGTGTTGGCTCAGTCACTTACTAAGCCTGTGGTCTTTGGGCAAGTAATTGTTTGGCTCTGAGCTTCTCTGTCCGTGTGCTGGTGAGGAGCATGGTGGCTTGGCTGAGTCTGTGGGTGGGACCAGGTTCTCACCTGTTCAAAATCCACACGTCTTTGCTACAGGCCAGGGCTGTTCGAAGTTTGTCTGCCTCGTTTACCAGAGTGGCCTTCCGGAACTGATCCCAGGCAAAGTTCCACTCTTCCTCGCCACCAAAAGAAATGGCGTTGCAGTAGACAGTAGACCGGAGGTTGGGGTGGATCCTGGCGTGGGGGAGTCAGGAACACAGCATCAGTGGAAAGTGGGGAGCCAGGAGTTGCCAGTGACTGGCCTGGGGCTCTATTTAGTCCGAGGGGAGATGAGGGCAGGCAGACAGGAACAGGGGAACACTCACGGGTTATGACTAGAGTTCTTCATCCATTCACTATAAAGCCCAGAAACCAGGTCCTTGCACTCTTTGACACCACTGGAGCAGGCTGTGCTGATGGCATTAACTTCATTGTACCTGTCCCAGGGGAGGCATGTGGTTAGCACTTCCTGCCCAGACCCCCACCAAGACTTCCTCTCAACACACAGCCAGGGGCCAGAGGCTCTGTGGTCCACCTGACCCTGTGGGGCTTTTCCTGTTTCCTACTGCCTGTGGCCTGTGATTTCTTAGTTCCCAAGGCAGACTCAGGCTTTCCATTTGAGTCTTAGTTAATGAAGTCAGGACTGGGGATGTAGCTCAGTTTGTAGCATTCAGAAGCTCGGGGTTTAATCCCAGCACTGTAAATGAGTGTGGTGCTACACATGTAATTCTACCACTTGAGAGGCCAAGGTAGGAGGATCAAAAGTTCCAGACCAACCTGGGCTACATAAGACCTTGTGACAAAGAAACCCATAAACTCAAAAGAGGCCAGAAGAGCCAGGCACTCAGGAGGCAGAGGCAGGTGGATCTCTGTGAATTTGAGTCTAGCCTGGTCTACAGAGTGAGTTCCAGGACAGCCTCCAAAGCCACAGAGAAACCCTGTCTCAAAAAAAAAAAAAAAAAAAAAAAAGGTCAGAAGAGTCCACAGGCCACGTAGGTCCACAAGAAAGCCCCTGCTCCTAGGTGCTCTCTCCCTGGCGTAGTCAGACATGGAAGGTTACTTCAGGTGTGCTCAGCTCTCGGGTCATGTGGGAACTCCAAACTCACAAAAGTCACACTTACTGTTCCATGAGTGTTGCTGGGCGATTCTCCCAGTTGGTGGTTATGTTTTTGAAGTGTTTGAAGAGGGGTGTGACTTGCTTCTTCAAGTAACTCTGGGGAAAGAATGTAGTAGTGTCAAGGACCAGGTCCACCTGCCTGGGCCAGCAGCCTCTGTAGGCATGAATGGGTACTGGCAGGCAGGGAGAGGTCAGGGTGTGCCCAAGGCCAGCACCTTAAGACCAGGTTTCAGATGACCGAGTTGGTATTCAGGAAATAGATAAATGAACACAGGGGATGGACCCAAACTATGATTTTTAAATTAGCAAGTTCATCCACTCTTCTTGCATTTCCTCTCTTAGCTTGTGTCTAATTCTGTGTACTGTTCTTTTTACCTAAACTCACATCATCAGCCCCATACTCTTACTAAATTAAAATCCCTTGCAGATTCTGGTTTGATGTGGCAGACTGACTTTTGTGATGAACTGAAGACATTATCCAATGGTAAAAGGAATCGACCTCTCCCCTCCCCAAGAACATCTTTGCTCTTATAGGAGAGACAGTAGTGGCATGCACCACCAATCCAGGCTAAAACTTCTGTTTTTAACAGTTTGATAGAAATATATAACTAATTTAGTTTCTTTTCTTGGCCTTTGTGTCAAAGATCAGATTCAAGGTGTTGTATATGCTGTGCACATACTCTCTCACTGAAGCCACAGTCAGCAAGTCTTCCCACAGTGAGATCTACAGGTGACAAACTCCACCTCCCCATGGAGTTTGCAATCCCTCTTTGTCATGGTCATCATCATCGAGATATGGTCTCACTATGTAGCCCACGCTAGCTGGAAACTTGCTATGTAGACTAGGCTGAACTCATGCTCAGAGATCCTCCTACCTCTCTCTGTCTCCTGAGTGCTGGGATAAAGGCGTGTACCACCAAGCTCTTTTGTAGGCCTTGATAATCTGTTCTGTTCCAATTCTGGTATGGCTTCAGGTCACTGTTAATTGCCTCACTCTCAAGTCCAAAAATGTCTCTCAGCCTCCAACTTGACAGGAAACCAAAACAAACAGAAACCTCAGATGAAAAAGGAAACTTCAAAAGCCCTGTAATAACTACCCTCAAGAGAGGGCAGAAGACGCTAGGACCAGATGCAAAGAATAGAAACATCCTGAAGGTGAGGGGAAAATTTTGAGGGGACCATCTCTGGGAAGAGTGAAGAGCCACCAAGCTCAAAAACTCCGAGAGACATAAAAACCAGGCCAAAGCAAGAGAGAGGAGTGGAGTCACTCAGACCTCCAGAAAGACACGAAATGGACAAGAGACTGAATAATAAGATAGTTCTGATACAGCTTACCCATGTCCAAGCTGGCAAGAGCCAGGCTGGCCCACCAGGCCTGCTACGAGAGCCAGGAAGTTTCCATAAAGGAAAACTGATCACATACCAAGAATCAGGAATAACAAAAGCTGTGGGACTTTTTTTTTTTTTTTTTTTTAACCGAAACCTGAGAATCCTGGTGTCAACAGACCTGGACCTTTTCTGAGGAATGATTTCCAATTCAGAAACTTTCTAAACCCAGATGAATTCTCAGTCCATGGTGAAAGTAGAATAAAAGGCATTCCCACCCACACAAATCCTTGCTCCAAACTCTCAGAATATGTACTCCCTGAGAGAAAATGGATAAGGGAGCCAGGAGATTCAGGAAGCAGAGTGATGCTCACTCAAGTAGAAGAGCAGGACCTTGTGCATGGCCTGAGCGACAGACCTGGAGTGGCAGAAGACTCCAGGGAATACACGAACCCTCGTTTGTGTAGGATCAGTCCACAGAGCCTTACTAGACAGGGGACACAGGTGCCCACACAGCACTCCGACCAGCTCCAAAGGGAAAACAGACACTGGGGTGTATGCTGAATGCTGGTATTGTGACTGCACTATAGGACCCTGGGCAATCACGAAAAAGTTCTGTTTACCAAAATATGCATCTGCTATCCTAGGCTGATAGTGGGATACTTTTACATTTAGGTTTTTTTTTAAAGGATAAAAACAAATAAAAAATAAAGATTAAAAAAAAAAAAAAGCCTGGCGTTGGTGGCACACACCTTTAGTCCCAGCACTCAGGAGGCAGAGGCAGGAGAATCTCTGTGAGTTCAAGATCAGCCTGGTCTACAGAGCGAGTTCCAGGACAGCCTCCAAAGCCACAGTGAAACCCTGACTTGAAAAACCAAATAAATAAATAAAATAAAAGATGGCTCAGGAGTTAAGAGTACTTGCTGCTCTTCCAGAGGACCCAGATTTGATTCTCAGCACTCACATGCTGACTCATAACCATCTGTAAATCTAGTTTCAGAGGCCCTAAGGCCCCAAGACCTTCTTCAGGTGTCCTGGGTCACCAGGCAGTCACATGGTGTGCCAACAGGCACAGGTGAAAGATCCCATCACAAAAAAATTAAAAATAAAAGAATGTTAAAGAGTTCTAGGCTGGGCGTTGGTGGCACACGCCTTTAATCCCAGCACTCGGGAGGCAGAGGCAGACAAATCTCTGTGAGTTCGAGGCCAACCCAGTCTAGAGAGTGAGTTCCAGGACAGCCAGGCTGTTACACAGAGAAACCGGAAACCCTGTCTCAAAAATTAAAAAAACAAAGAGTTCCAGGCTAACCTACAAAGACTATCTATAAAATGGACAAATAAGCAAACAAAACAAAAACAACCAAAAACTGGGCTAGGGAGATGGTTCAGTTAATCACGGGTTTGCTACACAAATGAGTTGAGTTTAGTTCCCAGAACACACACACACCATACGCATACACCACACATGCGTGAACAAACAGACACATCAGCCAAAGGCATCAGCAATACCTGCAATCCAGTGCTAGGAGCTGGTGACATGAGGGTGCCTGGGGTTTCCTGCAGGGCTCCCGGGGCAATGAGCTCAAAGCATAAGGTGGAGGGAGCTCAAGTGCTTGCTGCCCAAGCATGAAGACTTGAATCCCCAGAAACCATATAAACACATGCCTGCAAGCACAGCTCTAGAGTAGACAGAACGGGTGCTGGCCAGACAGGCTAGCCAAAATGGTGTTGAGCTCTGACCTCCACAGTCACATGAGCACACACACACACACACACACACACACACACACACACACACACACGCAATCAAATTCCAACAACAAAATGTGGTCTATAGAGCTATGAACCTTCCATCAAATGGGCATCGCAGTGTAACTCAGCCAATCCCAGCTATCAGACACAAGCATTTCTTTGTCTGCTCTTTTATGAAGGATGCAGCGAACATCCTGTGGGTGTGGCTTCATCCTGAGCCAGCTCCCACATCTTTGGTCTCCTCAGTGGAAATTTCACATGTCTAGGCCATACTATGAATGTGTCAAAGCCTATAAGACCAGCCTGAGGGGATGGGCTATGGTGGCCAGTGTTGCTGGGAACAGCTGCCTAAGGCACATGGCTGGTAAGACAAGGCAATGTGCTCTCTGGGACTTCCTAAAGCATTAATTTCCCATATTTCCAATGGGCAGATTTTGCTAGGCGGAATCTTGTCTTCATTTTGTGGGGCAGGGGAGGCATCCACTCTTCTAACCTCTGTGCCTGCTCCCTCTAGTTTCCTCTGACTCTGTCATCCTCCCCATGCCTTTTTTCTTTTTCTTTTCTTTCTTTCTTTCTTTTTTTTAAAGATGTATCTGTTTGCTTGCTTGTTATGTATACAGTGTTCTGCCTGCACGTGTGCCTGCAGGCCAGGAGAGGGCGCCCGATCTCATTATAGATGGTTGTGAGCCACCATGTGGTTGCTGGGAATTGAACTCAGAACCTCTGGAAGAGCAGCCAGTGCTCTTAACCTATGAGCCATCTCTCCAGCCCCACCTCTTCCCCCACACCTATTTTCTCAAAAGGCAGTGCACCTATTGACTTCCCGGTGGTGTAACTCAGACACTGGGATGTTGGCCACGCATACCTTCATGGGGCCATAGACCTCGGAGCGGTCGAACATGAGCTGGAAGTAGTTGAAGCTGCTCAGGGCGGCCTCCCAGGGCATGTACTCAATTTCTTTCTGCAGAAAGAGGGTGTTGTCCAGCGCCAGAGTGATGTTCACCTTTTGAGCACTGGAGACAAACAGGAAGGCCCAGGTCAGCACCCATCCAGCCCAGCTACGCCCTGGGACCCTAGCTCAGGTTCTCAAGGACACACCTATGCCTGGGTACCCTGACGCCTTCACATTTTCCATGGGGAAGGAGTGACGCAGGTGCTCTGTGGCGCCACCAATGGGCCCCACCTCAATTTACTGCCAGTCATGTTTTCTGCTTTCTTGCCTATTTTTTACTGTGATAATTGTTTTATCTGTTTGTTTTTACAGACAGGGTTTCTCTGTGGCTTTGGAGGCTGTCCTGGAACTAACTCTGTAGACCAGGCTGGTCTTGAACTCACAGAGATTCGCCTGCTTCTGCCTCCCAAGTGCTGGGATTAAAAGTATGTGCCACCACTGCCCGGCTATGTTTTTATTTTTTATTTATTTAGTTAGTTTTGAGACAGAACCTCTCTATGTAGCCCTAGCTGTCTTGGAACTCATTATGTAGACCATGCTGGCCTTAGCTTTGAACTCAAAGATCTGCCTACCTTCTGAATGCTGGGATTAAAGATGTGCACCATCACCTGTGGTGAGATGTATACTGACTTCCCCAAAGACACACAACTCACAAGAGACCGAGCTCAGAGCTCCATTCCGTGTGTGTGTGTGTGTGTGTGTGTGTGTGTGTGTGTGTGTGTGTGTGTGTGTGTATTCCTGTGGATGTGTGTATTTGTGCTTGAGGGCATGAATGTGTCTATGAATGTAGAGGCTAGAGGCCAATGTTGGATGTGTCTCTTCTTCTGTCATTCTCTATCTTACTTTTTGAGACACAGGTCTCTTGCCAAACCTGGAACTCATTGATCCCTGAGCTGGCTGGCCAATGAGCTCAGGGACCTGCCTCTCCCCACCAGTGTTAGGGCTATAGTACACCCTACAGTAGTTTGCTACACAGGCTTTCCTGGGCTCAGGGAATCTGAACTTGGTTGTACTCATGCTGTGTGACAAGCACTTTACTGACTGAGTCATCTCTCCAGACCCTTCTAACTGGACCTTTCCTCCACCTTCTGGCTTAGGCCATCTGTGGGCATTTGGTCCACAGCTGTCTCTGGGTTCTGTCACTCATATCAAAGAGCTCAGCACCTCACCATGAACACAGAAGGGGTTCAAAAAGCATAGTTGTGCCCAAGCTCTGTCTCTCTGTTCTTCTCATCCCAGATTTTTTTAAGCACCAAGCACAGGCCTGGTGTGCACACAGCACTCTGGAAAGCTGGGCTGTGGGTGGAAAGTGAGCAGTACAGCAGGACGAGCCTGAGTGTGGCTGCTGTGACACTTGGAGTAAGGTATTCTTACACTGCCAGCATCCTTCTCTGTGAAATGGTCATGTGGGGACCCCAGGAAGCTGCTCTGGTAGCCCCTGGCACAGCACCTGGTGGCATCTAGGACAGCAGGGGGAACTGGGTCCAGTCACCATCAGTCACTGGCTTCTGTCTCGGCCAGAAGGGCACTCACCTGGCCAGGTCGAAGGAGTCGTGGATAATCTGGGCACGATTGATGACAGGGATAACCTAGGAAGGGAGACAGTGTGACTTTGGGCTTACAATAGGGAACAGACCTTGCAGTCTGATGGCCCATCATTCCATGGAGGACAGTGCAGGAGGGATACCCACAGACAGGTCTGACTGCAGCTGACTCTGAATCTTCTTCCAGTTGCCTTCATCGTAGTTCACCTGGTAGTAGCCTGTCACACCAAGGTTCAGCAAGACCCACTCATTCCCAGAGGTCTTAAAGGCGATGTTCTGGGCTGTGAAGCAGGGCTAAGGTCAGGGCTAAGTGGAGTGGCCCAGAAGACCATGGGGGACCCTGAGCCTCCTCTCAGCATCCATCTTGCCCAGCCAACTTCCACTAGTACCCTGTATAGGACACAGTTCACTTTCTAGGCCTTTGCATTGAACTGAGCCCCTGACTCCTGGCTCACCACCCCAGCCACTCCAGCCAGACGCTACAGTTAGGCTGTCAGATGGTTCCTGGATGATTCTAATTGCTTGGCTTCCATCTGCCTGTGAGTAACTGGTCTTCACCTTTGATTTTTCAGTGCCTAGTCATATTGGGCAGCTCTGTACCTGCCAATCACCGTCCTAAGCACTTTACAGGAATTCTCTCATTCAGTTCTCACACAGCTCAGTGGAGCAGATACAGTCAGCTTGATAGAAAAGAAGATGAAGACCAGAGAGGGGTGGTAACTTGCCCAAGACTACATAGAAGCAAGGTGAAATTGAAAACAAAGACATCTGCTCCATTTGTTGAGTGAAATAATGAAGGGAATCTTCACTCAGCTCCCCCACAGTCCCCCCCCCCCCCCGAGAACATGGGCCAGGAGGCAGCAGATAAGACGGGACTCATTACATTTCTGGGCGTTCAGCCAGTAGTGCTCCTTCTGCTGCTGTTGTAGTCCACCTTTGAGATACGGAATGGGTACAATCCAAGTGTAGCTGCAGTGAGAGACCCGGGGACCAGTAAATGACGGTGGGCAACTCTCGGGCACACCGTGGGGACCCCTCTAAGGTGCCCAGTGACGACCCAACACCAATACCAACTGTCACCATGCTCCTGACCCCACATGATCTCCTTCCTTGTGGCCCACCCTTCCCTGGGACCCAAGCCTTGGTGACCCTCTGTGCTCACTTAAAAGCTGAGGGGCGGGTGACATTAGACTGGGGGTCAAGGAGGAAGTGTTCCTGGGAGATCTCTCCTGTAGCGGTGTCCACAGTGATAACGGGAAAGCCCATCTGTAGAATCCAGCGGTCCATGATGGTGCTCACGGAGTCTGGGAGTTTAATTTCTGTCTGGCTGTCCACAGCCTGTTTGAGGGACACAGTGTGGCTGTCAAACCACTGTCCTCCCATGCCTACCACCCAGGCAGCCTCTGCAGATTCTGGTCAGCCTAGACCTGTGGTGCCGCCTATGCAGGGCAGGGGGACAGAGGACAAGGGACCCATCCCTCTCTGCCTCTCCTTGTCTGCCCAGTGCTGAGCAAGCTGGAGAACCTCTCTGCCTCTAGCTAACTCCACATTGTGTGTGCCCCCAAGCTGTGGCCCACAGCCAGGGCACCTTCGGAATGTTAGCGATGAGATTAACAGAGAGAGGAAAAGCAGTGCCCAATGTCACAGGCAGGAGCAAGGGACAGGGTTGTGGGGTGTGGAGGGAATGGGGATGCCACAACCCTTGTTACTGCGTTCATGGGTCTTTTTCATCTTTTTTTTTTTTTTTTTTTTTTCTAATGTATGGGCACTGCTTTTGTAGTCACAGCAAAAAGCCAAAGACATCTGCTAATAACTGAAGCCGTGAACTCTGAAAACTGGGCTGTCAGAAGGGGAAGTGGAGGCAGGGGAGGTCTGGGGCCACAGAAGACAGGGAAGGGAAGGGGCAAGCTTTGCTGAAGCAGGAAGGCACCAGGTGGAGGAAAGATCCAATGATGCTCCACCGGCCAATGGGGGTGGAGGATGGGTGTGTGTGTCACAGACAGGCTGGGGGCAGGGAGAGAGGGCAATGGAACCTGCCCAGCTGTGACTCTGTGATATCCCCTCCCCAGTGAGATGGCCTTGGGGCCCAGAAGGACACAATGGCAGCCAGGGAGCCAGGGAGTGGGTGGGCAGGAAGTCAGGGCCCTAAGGCTCTGGAGGGAACATTAATGGGAGAGGTGGGTGTGGCTGAGGAGGGGTGGGCAAAGTCTGCAGAGAAGACTGGGAGGCTCACAGGGATGGAGACAGGGACGATACAGGATGAGAAAGTGATGGAGGTTCATGGGGAGGGTGGACTCCAGCCCTAAGGAGAGGCAGGAAGGAGGAGGACCTCCGGGGAGGGCAGGAGGGCTTGGAAGCTGGGGGATGGAATGTGAAGTAGGGAGGGACAGAGGGTCAGAGTTTGCATCCCAGATGCTGGATGTGCCAGATAGATAGGGCCGCAGGACACAGGGCAGCTGGGAGTGCTGAGTCAGTTAAATGGCTGGCTCCAAAGTTCTGGCAGAGGAAAAGGAGGATAGTGAGGAGGTTTGGGCACAGTGCCCTGAAGTCCATGCTCTCAGCACTAAGTGACCCCACGAGGACCACCATGGTGCATCTAAGCAAGAAGCTCAAGTGGTCGGCTCTGGTGGCGCGGGCCAGTAGGATATGCTGTAGTAGAGGCAAATGCAGGAGGATCTCTGAGTTTGAGGCCAGTCAGGTCTACTGAGCGAGTTCCAAGACAGCCAAGGGCTACACAGAGAAACCCTGTCGGGGGGGGGGGCAGGAGAGGGGGGCGGGGGGAGAGAAAAAAGCTGAATGTGTTGGCAACCATCTGATCCCAGCACTACTAAAGTGAGATGGGGAATCAACTGTTCATACAGAAAAAAAAGATAAACCCTGCCTCAGAAACAAGATGGGAGAACCAATTGAAGAGAGCCCAGAGAGAGAGAGAGAGAGGGAGGGAGAGAGAGAGAGAGAACCTGAGCAGACAGTGAGCAGGGGTCTTACCTACCCTCTTTAAGGAGCCACCTTCACACCCATTTTACAGACTAGCCACTGAGGCTCCCAACAGTTTTCCTGGACTGCAGAACAGAGAAGCTAGGCACAGTCTCACACATGCTGTCCCCAGGGACTTTGAGCGTTACCCACCTTCTGCAGGTGCTCCCACAGGTCCAGATAAACAGTGTTCGAGTATTGGAAGGTGTGGAGATAAGACTGTGGGGCGACAAATCTTGGTCAGGGCTGGGTGGACTCAAGGCTGTGGAAGGCTGTGCTAGGGGAAAGCCACCATGCAGAGGGACCACCTGGAGCTGTACTCACTGCAAGGCCCTTCTTGAACAGGTCCTCTGTCAGGAAACTAGACAGCATCCTAATTACCGAAGCTCCCTGGGGTAGGGTGAGAGGGAGCTCAGAAGGCCAAGCTGGCTACCAGGGACCAACACCCCCCAGAGCAGCAGGTGTGTTGAGCTCTCTGTGGGATGTATCCCTCCCCACACCCCTTGTCTCTCAGGGCCTCCAAAAAGTCAGGTAGTACCTTACTGTAGGTGATGCTGTCAAACAGCTCGCTGATCTGGGCTGGTGTGTTGACTTCGTCGGCAGGGCTGGACAACGGGTGGGAAGAGGCGAGTGCGTCCACGGCCATCACACGATACACTTCATTCTGCACTATGAGGTCTGTCTGCAGAGTCCCCAAATGCCATCAGGAGCCTGGCCCAGGAGGGACCATCCTAGGCACTCCACTCTCCCACCTCCACCCAATCCCCAGAATGGTGGCTCACCAGATTCCAGGTGGGCTCTGCAAAATCAGCCCCCAGATACTCCACATAAGAGGCAAAGCCCTCGTTCAGCCACAGGTCATTCCACCAGGCCACCGTCACCAGGTTACCGAACCACTGCAGGGGACACAGATGAGTTGCTGAGCTTCCCAGGCCTTGCCATCTATCATGAAAAGTATCTAACCAAGTGCTGACTGTCTACTAGGCACAGGAGGGCTGGGCACTCCAAGGCCTCCGTTCCCTCTTGCTTCTCCATAGTCATCTACCTGATGGGCCAGCTCATGAGCAATCACGGTGACCACCCGCTCCTTGTTGCCGATGGAGGAGGACACAGGATCGTAGAGCAGGGCACTCTCACGGTAGGTCACTAGCCCCCAGTTCTCCATGGCTCCAGCGTTGAAGTCAGGCAGGCCAATCTGGTCTGTGAAGGAGCCACGTGTCAGTGGAGGGCATGGATGGGGATCCCAGCACTACCTCCCCATGAAGGCCCCAGGGCCACTCACCAGACTTTTCTAGAGGGTAGGCCGTATTATAATGTTGGGCAAAGAAGTTTAGGATGGGGCCTGTCACTTTCAGGGCGTAAGCACCATGGCCCTCGTCGATGGCACTGGGACGAGCCCAGATTCGAATCTGCAGAATGAGAGAGAAGAGGTCAGGTTTGGGGTCCCAAGGAGAAGAGTCCCAGGATCTGATGAGCTGGAGGTCCACAATAAATCAGGATGGGGACCCACTAGATTAAACTAAGAAATCTGAGCATGGTATCATATACCTATAAACTCAGCACTTAGGAGGCAGGAGGGTCACAAGTTCAAGGCCAGCCTGGCACCTAGTGAACCCTATCTTAATATTTAAAACAGAAGGGTGGAGAGATGGCAGCTGTGCTGGTTAATTTTATATCAACTTGACAGACTAGAGCCATCTGAGAGAAGGGAATCCCAATTGAGAAAATGCCCCTGTTTCTTATTGGGCTGCAGCAAGCCTATAAGCATTTTCCTAGTTAGTGACTGATGGGGAAGGTCCAGCCCATTGTGGGTGGTGCCACCCCTGATTCTGTAAGAAAGCAGTCTGAGCAAGCCATGGGGAGCAAGCCAGTAAACAGCCCCCATCCTTGGCCTCTGCTTCTGCTCCTGCCTCCAGGATCCTGCCCTGTTTGACTTCTTTCACTGATGGACTAAGATATGGAAATGTAAGCCAAACAAATCCTTCCCTCCCCAGCTTGCTTTTTGGTCATGGTGTTTTATCACAGCAATAGTAACCCTAACTTAAGACAGCGGTTAAGAGCACTTGCTCTTCTAGAAGACCTGCTTCAATTCCCAGCACCCACACAGCAGGTAACAACCATTTGTATGGAACTCCAGTTACAGAAAATCTGATGCCCTCTTCCGGCCTCCAAGAACACGATACAGTACACACACTTACATGTAGTGTAGGCAAAATACCCATACACATAAAACAAATTTGTTTCAAATTTTAAAAGGGGGCCAGGCATAGTGGCATACAACTTTAATTCCTCCAGCTCTCCGGAGCCAGAAGCAGGTCTACACAGTGAGTTCTAGGACAGCCTGATCTACACGGTGAGTTCTGGGACAGCCTGATCTACACGGTGAGTTCTGGGACAATCTGGTCTATACAATGAGTTCTAAGATAGTCAGAAGACTTGTCTCAAAAACCCCTGTCTCAAAAAAAAAAAAAAAAAAAAAAAAAAAAAAAAAGTCCAAGAGGCTGAAATGTGTGTTTAGAGGTTAAGAGTGCCTGCTGTTCTTCCAGAGGACCCAGGTCTGGTGGTTCACAAGCACTGTAACTCCTAGGGATCAAACACTTCCTCCTGGTGTCCACAGGCACATGCACTCCTGTGCACATGTCCATATACAGACACATACTCATACACATAAGAGGCAGAGGCAGGTGGAAGATCTCTGTGAGTCCAAATCCAGCCTGGTCTACAGAACTAGTTCCAGGACAGGCTCCAAAGCAACACAGAGAAACCCTGTCTCAAAAAAACAAACAAAACAAAACAATAACAACCAAAACAAACAGAACGGGAAAAAACAGCAATGTCCTATCTCCTACAGTCAGGAGCTTCCCTAAGGAAGCAGAATTGTGATTCCCCCATGCATTCCAAACAGACTGAGAAGTACTTAAGAACGCCTAGGATCACGTGGAGTTGGAACTCAACTGTCTAATAATTCAGAAGCTAGTACTGGGAAGATCTGTAAAGGTCCCTCAAGCCAGGGCCTGTGCCATCTGAGAACACACAGGCCCAGTTCCATACCTGGACATTATTGGTTGAGATCTCATTCAGATATTTGAATTCACACACAATGTAGGCCAGCAGGTATGTGGACATCTTGGGGGTGGGGTGGAATTCCGTGACAATCCAGGAAGAATTATCTTGAAGGGGACTGGAATCTGGGCATGGGACATGGAAGTGTGTGGGCCTCTTGCTCTGCACACCAGTCCAAGGCAAACCCAGGGCAACCAGACTCACTTTTGGGAAGCATGTTAGACAGAGCCTGAAAGTTTTTGGGGTAGATGAGTGTGATGTTGAATATGGCCTTCATGGCTGGCTCGTCAAAGCACGGGAAAGATTTCCGGGCATCAGCAGCCTGCATCTGCGTTGTGGCCACCACCCTGTCCAAATCAGAGTGTTAGAAAGGCTATCTTTAGGTGCAGAAGAAAGGGTGTCCCACCCTGCTTCCTGCCCTTCACCCAACTCCAAACAGCCTCAGGGGCCTGGTCAACAAGCTGCCATAGCAGACCAAAGCTTCTAGACTCCATCCAAATCCTGGCAAGCTCCATGCCTGTGTGAGCTCAGGGATCATTCAGTATTTCTGTCCATCCAAGGAACCCTTCCATCCCACATCCCTAGGGTGTGGAAGACAGTACCCTCAGTAACTGTACCCCCCTACACTATAGATGAGAACCAGGGCTACCAAGGTCTCCTGAAGGCTCCAGCCCCCCTTTCCACAATCCCCAGATGCAATGCCATCTCAGCCTGTGCCCATGGCCCTGGAACTTACTTCTTGATGTCACCCTCCATGTACTCGCTGCGGTAGAAGCCAGCCAGGTCATCGGCCAGTTCCCCCTGGAACTCGCTTTCCATCTCATACTGTTTGCCCTTCGTCAGGGATCCCTGCAGGTGCACCACCAGGTACTCGGTGCGCTCTACCAGCTCAGTTTTAAAGATGGCAGGTGCCTGGGAACCATCCATGGCTCGCAGTGCCACCATAAAGCCTCCCTTTAGGGTGTAGCTGAGCTTTTTGCTGTGGATGATGATGACATTTGTGGTATTGTTACAGGTAAAGCGGACAGTACTGTTACCTGTAAAGATGTACAATCCCTGTTCGTTGGGGGTGAGGTAGGGCCTCAGAGTCACCTGGTAGGAGTCAGGTATCAGAGTCTTGGGCAGGCGGTACTGATTCCAAGGCTTGCTTTCATCTACAGATGTGGTTGGGGTAGCAGTAGAGGTGGTGTCAGGGAGTGTGGTAGCCGTGGCAGAGTTCTCAGCATTCTTGTTCTTCTCTTGAGCATAGACCACCGACAGGGCTATGATGGTGCACAGAGCTGCCACACCCAGCAGGATGCCCAAGATGCCCAGGGTCTTGGAAATGTAGAAACCCTTGGCCATGATGCTGGTGGGCAGGTAACTCCGAGTGGCTCAGGCCACACTGGAAGCAGAGCAGCCCTGGGCCAGCTTATATCTTGCAGGGGGCGGGCCCCTCTGCCTGGGGATTGGGCAAATATTAACCAGGGCTCAGGCGAAGGTCACTAGGCTAGATAGGGGTATTCTCTGCCCAGGCTCCAGAGAGATCAGAAATGAAACTGTGTAAAGCTGGCTATAGGGAGGTGGGGGGGGGGGTGGAGCAGGTGCCTGCTGGGAGCAAACAGTGTCTGGTTATGGGCTGAAGGTGGCCTGGAAGGTTGGGGGGGGGGGTCGGGCGGAGCTGGGACTGAAGGGCAGGCTGCAGACTGCAGGCTTGGCACCTGGAGGGCAGAAGGGAAGGCAGGTGACACTGATCCACCTGCAAGCACAAATGGAGGGGACAGAGACAGGGGGGTTACAGTTAGACTCAGTGATTGATTCACCAGACCCAAGAGGTGGGCCAGGCAGAGCGGAATGAAGACAATTCCCATCACACTGGATCTACCTTTGGACTGGGTTCCCTGAGGGATGCCAGGGACCCCTTAGGACATCCTGCAGATTCTCTCCCTTTCTCTCCTCACTAACTTCTTTTCTCTCTCAGCTCCCCAAGGAAAGCAAAATGAATCTCTTTTCCTTCCTTCCTCCCTCTCTCCATCCCTCCCTCCCCCATCTCTTTCTTTACTTCTTGAAAAGAGTTATAGCTTCCCCTCGTGAGTAAATCACAGTAACTACCCCCCCAGTCTTACCCTACATATTTAAGAGGAAACACATGGACCATCCCATGGTAGAAACTTAGCCCTATGACCCTCTTGACCCTAGCACAGCACTGTCCTGCTCTCTGTCCTGGGTACCAACTCCATAACACATGGCCTTCCTATTCTCCTTTACCAGTCCCGCCTCCCAGACGCTCCACTGACTGATCCTCACCCCAACACCCAGCTCACCCCATCTCCTCACAGCATTCAGCAGACACTGCTGTATTCTCATGAATTCCCTGCTTCCTCCAGTGCCCCCCAACCCTACTCATCACACATCAGGCCATGGCATCCCATTGTTTCAAACCTTTTTGTTCCATACAACCCAGGCTCCACCTTCCTAAGGGATCTACACACAATGTGCAGAAGTCAGCCTACCCCCTTCCCACCCTCACCCCAGGACCTCCCACACACACACACACACACACACACTCACTGTCACAGTACTTCAGACTTCATCCAGCCCCTCTACCCCAGGGCCTTTGCACATGCAGTACATGTGGATAGATGTCCCTTCACTCTAACCCTGATTAGCATCTACTGATACTTCAAGTCTTAGAGAAGCTACCCTTCCTCCCTGACCAGCAGTTCCAGCCCTAGTGGATTGGATTTAACACCATACATCTCCTCTGCAGATCCTTGTACCTCAGCATGGGTTACTACTCCATTCAGTGGTAACGTGAGCTGTGACTTTCAGCCTTGTAAGAATAAGGCCTTGGCTGTCCTGTCCCCAGACTTGACTCTGTGCCTGACCCTAGTAGGTACCTCCATATGTATCTGTTAGGTAGATGCCCACATATGCGATTGAATGACTGAATGAGTCATTCCAGAAGAAATCCCTTTTTGAAGTCCTCCAGCCTTTATCTCCACCCTGCCCCTGCCCAAAAGGCATTTTTAGAAAATAAATACCCTTCTTCCTCTGAGGCCTCTTCTAGCCCATCTGACCCTCCAGGACCTCATCCACCTGTCATCCTGTCCCTGGCCTTCAAGGAGGTGTGTTGAATGAACAGAAGACAGAGGGTACAGGTATGAGCACAGGAGGAGCATATAGCTGCCCTCTGCTCTGGCTAGCAAGGCCAGGATCTGTGTTTGAGCTATCTGGTTCAGTTTGTCTACATTTTAGGCCAAGGGCAGACAGTACTCCCCAGTCTCCCCCACAATCTGCAACCCATCCCCAGGGCCTCAATCTGGGGTCAGAGTGGACTCCACCAAGGGGCATAAGTGGGAAACTAGCTGTTGGAAAGGCACATAACGGTGCCCCAGCTTGCAGAAATAGGGTTGAGGCCTCAGAGTTTCCCATGGGCTTCCTCAAACATTAACACCCTGGGGACTGTGCCTCTACCTCATACCCTTCACCATATCCCCACGCAGGCCCTGCAGCCCCCTCCTACCCGAACAGCAGGCAGACCCACAAGTCCACTGGGCTAATCCCCGTCTCCAAACAAAGAGCTAGGTTCAAACAAAGAGCAGCCTCTTCCTGTTTGTTTTGGATGTGGACCATGGGCCAGCTGGCCAAAATCTGGGTTCCTCTGCAAGGGGGCCCTGGTGTCTGGTTTTGGCACAGCTCCAGGAGTGGCACCAACCCAGGCTAGGTTGTGTGGGTGGGGTCTGCAGCTCCTCACCCTTGGGGGACTCTAAGAAAGGCCCCTTGCCATAGTCCCTGCCTCAAGCAGGTCTCGCCACTTCCACACCCCGGCAGGCAGTGTCGGCTCTGGGTTCTCATCACCCTGCCCAGCCAGCACGGGTGGGCATCTTCCTGTATGTGTGGGTGAAACGACCCTCACTGCCTTCAGAGTGAGACTCTGACTGGGGCCTCAGGACCATCCGGACTGGACCTCTGTGGAATCCAGGGCCAGGTTTTCACAGTCACCTGGGCTCCCATCGCTCTGCCTCTGCTCCTGTTGCTTCCTCTGGCCCCATTGGTCACAAACACCTTTCTTCTCCTCATCAAGTTCCTACTTATACTTCAAAGCCAGCTCACAACCTTGTCATGCCTCTCAGCGACAAACTTCTATGGTGTCCAGTTCACATCTTCATTGTCACTTACAAAAAGACCATGTTTGTGTCAGCCCCCACACCAGCCCAGCACCAGCGAAAACCAGGCAGACAGCCTGCACTTCACCACCACGAAAATGGCGAGTCAGGACCTTGATTTCTGGATAGCTAGTTCTGTCCTCCATCCTGGGCTCTGACACTGCACAGAAGCCACCTTTGCCATCGCCCACTAGGTCATTCGCCTCATATTTTTCTCAAAACCAACTCATGTCACTTAGCCTGGTGAGCAAGAAGGAACCCGACATCGTGTATTGTTACTTTTTTTTCCCTGATGTACGGCTCACCTCATACCTCAGATGAAAACAGAGGTACTAAGGCAGCCTGAGACTACCCTGCACAGCTGCTGCTGCTGCTGCTGCTGGAGAAACAGCACTCTGTCCTGCCTGACCTGGGGGGTGTCATTGTTTCAGTGTGGGTCCTTTCTGCAGGTGAGAAAGCCTCTTGCCTTCCTTTCATTACTTACCTCTGGGGGGGGGGGGGTCGGGGCCCTGATCCCACCTGGCAGATCTCAACTGACAAATGAACCCTGTTTAGGATGTTCTCTCTCTCTCTCTCTCTCTCTCTCTCTCTCTCTCTCTCTCTCTCTCACACACACACACACACACACACACACAGGCACACTAGTTAATCTGTGCCCCATACCACATCTCAGGCTCACGATTCCTGTCTAGAGCGCTCATCCTGAGTTCCGGTGTAAGCACTGTGAGCACTGACCAAGAGAGGAGCTAGGGGACTGTGTGTAGCCCCTCTGTCCACTCTGAAGTAGCAGTGAGTAAGGCCAGGGTGAAGCCAGGCCCTCAGAACAGAGTCATCCTGACTGACGGCCTATTCCCATGTCACAGCTGGTTTGGGTTGGTCTGAGCCAGCCCCCAGGGTGCTTCCTCTGGGAGGCCTGGACACTGTCCATTCTGTGGGAACAGCATTAAGCCCATGGCAAGTGGGCCTTTGTGGGCCAGGGAAGTGTCCCCGGAGGGCGGGGACAGAGGGGCCCTGTGCACTGGTCATACAGGCCCACACTTTCTTTGATGGAAGTGGCTCTACAAACCACAAGGACAGATTCCTTCCCTCAGACCATGACCAGGAATTGGGAGTTGTTCTGGGAAGCAATACTTGTAAGCCAGGAGCCACCAGGGGGCTGCTACAAGACACAGTCTTGTAGGGGATTCTTATCCTGCTCACACAGATATAAATGAGGCCACCATAGGGTCCCTCAAGATAGGACTCAGGCTGAGGAGAGAAGCTTCCAGCCAGTGGGGATTCTGATATGGAGGCGCTTCAGAGTGAGCAACTTGCAGCTTCCCCTCAGGTACTCTGCAGAGCTACCAAGCATTATGGTGCTAGGTTCAAATCCTGGGGGTGGTGGGAAAGTCCCACAATCAAATACGGAGGCTGAGGCTGAAGCAGGAGGATTGCCTGGAGATCTAGGCCAACCTAGACTACACAGCTCACCTCTGGAGGACTCGAGCACTAGGGCCACGGCCCCTCCCCCTGGAATTGTAGCCAGTCTTGTGCAGTGGAAACCCCCTCCTTCTTACTGGCCACCCATGCTGACAGAGGTGGGAAGCCACCTGCTCCAAGCTCCACATTTACCGTGAACTGGCCAAGGTCCTGAGAGTCCTCCTGTCACCCCTAGACCTTACTCTATCTGTCAGCCACAGGGGTGCATTGGTGCCCTGAATTCTCCAAACTGCACACCTCGCTGGAACCTCAGAGCAAGTCAAAAGCCCTGACCCTCCAGGACGAGCGGCCTGCCAGGGGTTATTGGAGGTAACCTGCTTGGAAAGACCCCCTCCGGGGAACGGCCTGCCAGGGGTTATTGGAGGTAACCTGCTTGGAAAGACCCCCTCCGGGGAACAAGGTCCGGATGTCACTGGCGCTGCTCCCAGGAGGGCACCTGCAGGATCCACCACCTCTGTGACTTGGCGCACTTCCAGGAAGGATGCCAATAGATGGGGTGAGGTGGGCTCCAGGAGGATAAAATCTAGTTCCCACTTTCTCACATACGCTGGGGCCCAGCACCAGGGCGGGCCACTGTTCCAAACCGAGCTGGGGTGGGGGGGAGACTGTAGAGCAGAAACTATGACTTCCCTGGGCCACTGCGCGCCCTCTGTTCGCACCATCCCGGTCCTCTGTGCACCAACCATCTGTGCCTCAACCCCCTGCTCCGTCCTTCATGTGTTCCTCGACACCCCTCCTCCCCTGTATCTGACTCTGGCCACCTTCTCCAAGACCAGCCACCCCCTGTTCTCTAGGCCTGGTCATCTTCTGTCATCAAATCTGGGGACTCCCTCTGAGCCCTGAAGACGCCTGGAGACTGCTGGCACCCTTGAGAACCTACAGCCTCGGCAGCGACAGGCCCTCAGTTTACTCATCTGAGTTGGGGCAGAAGCTGCATTT